CTCGTTTCCTTCAGATGGTAAACCACAGTTGTTATGCAAGGGCCAGCTCCTTAGTGGTTCACTTAGCTATGTCCATGTAACTCCATCCTCTAAAGGTTGGCAAAGAATGGCCGTATTAGCTTTCAATTAAAATTACATGGATTCTCAGCGGTTGCATTGAAATGTTGTACAGCACTGTATAGGCTAAACGCTGTAGATGGCGTGGGCGATTTGAATGTTGTCATTGTCTGAGAGCACTATCAATGAGAGTGTCCGTGTTTGCATGGGAGGACGGATATTTCCATGTTTTCCTATGCACCTACACGTGTCTAGGATGGCACGCTCATCGTTATTTTATAATCTCTTAATAGTTTAAAACTAGTACCTAAAAATGTGAATGAGAAATAAAAAAAAATCTGTAATCATAAATCAAACGAGCTAAGCAAGGTTGGTAATGTGGAGTAACGCTGTGAAAACACGATTTATTCTGAGACGATAGGTGATTGACAGATTTCAATGATAGAGCACCCATGATGAGCTTTTGTCTACACAAATATGCAGTGTTTTTCATGAAAACAAATACGGTCCGTAATCGTATCCTGATTATGCGATATCGGCAACATGTCATGCGACAAACTATCCATTTGGAGCTTCCTTAAAAGTCTGGAACTCTTTGTACAGGAATATTAGAGAATATCCCACAGAGGTGGATATCACAGAGCTTGCCTCTGAATCCCTTCAGCTGGTCCCTGTTCCACACAGTAAGATGCAGGACATTCCCACACACTCTACCAAACTCAGAATCTCCAGACGCTGTCACCTCGACAGACCTGGTTTTCACCTGAGGACGGCTACTTGCGTTGTGGCCGAAACGTCGTGAGAATAATTTTATTATGTTTTATTTTTATTATTTTATTACTTCCCTTCTACGTGACTTTACCGAAAGAACCAAGAAGAAGATCAGAATCTTTATTCACACAGCTAGACTCTAGCCAAGTTATGTGCAGAAACAAATTTTATTAAATGCGTTTTACTTTGTGCGGTCATTGATGACTGACTGGGCTAAAACCATCAGTTCACTCCACTTGAGAATCCAGTTTAATCACAGGCAGCTTCCTGTATGCAAATCCAGGACCTCGACGATGCCAGCCAAGCGTTGACCTCTTGAGTCACCCAGCCACCTCACATTGTGTTAAGATTGAAAATGGTGTATTCGTGGTAACAATAGCGTGTGGCTGCTGGGGACCTTGGGTCTGAGCTGTGAGACTCTCCCCCCCACCAAGTTAAGCTGGGTCTTGGTCACAGATGCACCTTTAATTAAAAGCTTCAGGGACGTGCAGACACCCAGGGGAGAGTCCTGGTGGCAGGATGTACAGTTCACAATAATAAAGTCAAATCTCGGTACAGTCTTCTAGCACTCTATTACATAATTACAGTGTATAAATGAAATTTTGAGGGTTTTTTACGTTTTGATATGTTGAGTGGTACAATGGATAGCGAGCGCCCCGTTCAATTCCTGACCCCACGGCTTACATCAGGGGTGAGCAATAACTGACAAAGCATGGTGAAGTATGGTCAAACAAACCCCTTGACCGACACGGCACGAGGAGGCCGTCATTATTGGCTTGACAAAAGGCTGTAAAAGTATCCTTTACGATTAAATTATTATGATGACAATCTATCAGCGTCACAGAATGTTTGATCTTTCTAAGCTGTACAAATCAGCCGACGCTCACAATTGTCATCTTATAACCATTTAAGTTACTGTTTAATGCTCGACTCTTATGACCACTGATGAAGTAGTGTAAGTGCAGTTGTAATTCTTGGGTCGGGGCGATGTGGGAGCAAGGGTTAGTTGTTAAGGATAGTTTGCAAAATGAGGAAAACTGAAGCTCATTCTAAGCTCCCCAATGCTTTCTTTCTTCACCAAACCGCACTGACGCGCGCGGTGGAGTACTCCATGGTTCAAATCATCGCGCGCACACTGCACGAGAAGGACCCTCCTCATCCAGCAGTGGCGTGACACAAAGGGCTGCATATGTTCGGGTTAGTCAGCCTCATTGTTCAAAACGCGTGCGGTGGCCACGTGACGCACGCCTGTAATCCAGCACTGTGGAAGCGAGAGTTTGTGGATCCTGCGCGCACGTTGTGGAACTCCCTTTTCCCTGCCCGTCGAGGTGCCACAACACTGGCTCGCCATGAGACGGTAGTTCAGAGAAAGTGGACTAATCGCCATCTGTTTTCACCTGTACGGGGATAGAGTATTGCTCCCTCGCGCGCGTGGGGTTTCTCCCCTTGCTCTGGTTTCCTCCCACACGTATGAACTCATACATTGGCTGAAAACATATTTAAAACATAACAAGCCTAAAAAAAGATTAGGTGTGGTGATCCTCGATAATTAATTAATTATCATACGATTGGCGAGAGTGAGTTGAGACGATTGCTTATTTTACAAGAGAGACCTGGTGTAAAAGTAATAAAATACAGGGAACAAATATGATCGTGGGAGAGGAAGATGTAAGTGATGAAATAACCTTGCAAAATCTAGGGTAGTAACAATAATGAAAAAATAATAAATTGGAACATACTTGAATTTAACCAGTAAATAGTTAACTCAAAAGTTAAAGATTAATGCAGTAGTACCCCACTGTAGTCAACACACAGTGGTGTATGAACCACTAGGGTTGGTAAAGCATGGTCACATCCCTTCAGAGACTGTGAGCCTAAAACACCTTCACCAGAATTAGCGATTCGTCAGCATTGGTCCAAGCGAGCGTGACTGCTGATGAGACACTTATGTTGAAACTAATCCAGAGTTTGCTTGTATTGAATCATTGCTGCTCACATGATGCGTTCCCAGTGTCATGTTTGATAAATACTTAAGTGTAGGGACAGATATATCAATGAGATATTATTGTCTGCTTATTTATTGTGACTTGTATTCTCCAAAATGACAACAATGATCAATTTTGATTTGAAGCTTTCGTGACTGCAGGAATCCATTCTCCTTGGTTCTTTCGGTAAAGTCACGTAGGTAGAAAAATAAATAAAACTAAAAGTAATATATCACGACGTTTCGATCGCAAAACAAGCGGTCGGATTATATTTTTTTCTGCCTGAGGACTGACTGCTTGTGTTGCGATCAAAACGTAGTGATATATTATTTTTTCTTGATTTGAAGCTTTCGTGACTTCACAAAGAACCAAAGCGTATTTCTTATTTTTTATTAATTAAAAATTTCTACCTACGTGACTTTACCGAAAGAACCAAAGAGTATAATTATCAATTTATTTACATTATTTCCAAAGGCCATTTAAAGCTTGTGATTTAGTAATAGTTTTGATTGGTGAATGCCTTGTGCAGGGACACCACTTCTAGGGATGATGATTGATGGACGATATTGGTAATGGAACAGCAGCCAAAAGATGGAACGTGCCAGCAAAGGACGACCACCACGGAGAGGGATCAAAGAGATGAGTTGATGTGCAGCAGCAAATTGTGTTATGGCATCGCAAGATCACGAGAGATGGCGACAACGGAGGGAGGCCTTCATCCAGCTGTGGAGAAATCATGGCCGATTATTATGAAATAAGTGAAGTAAAATCGTTTATTGTATTTTTGTGTGTGTGTTGCTTTATCCAGTAGATCCATTATGAAAGCTGGTGTGATTATCTGCATGTTATGCCTTGTTATTGGAGGGAAAGTGTGAGGTCTTTGTATCTCTTGGGATCTGCTGCTAGGCTATTTCGATTTTTTTTTCTTTTGTGTCTCTGTTTACCAGCTGTTGCATTGCATACAGCCTATCCATATAGGTAATATACAATGAGATGTTTTGGGATATTACCTTCTTGTAAATACTGTAGTTGAAATTACAGCTGTTTTTACGGCAGGCAGTTACTTTTAAATCCCTTTCAAATCTGGGAGTGTGCTCAATGTGACAACTAAAACAATTAAACGTAAGCTCGCTTATTCACCAGCTTTTTTGCCGTGTGACAACTGAGCGACAATCATAACGTTGACACTAACTGCAGTGGATACGTAATTATGCGAAAGTAGCTTTGTCTTTTCTAGATTTGAAGTTTTCGTGACTGCAAGGATCCATACTCCTTGGTTCTTTCGGTAAAGTCACGTAGGTGAAAAAATAAAAATAAAATAAAAATAACTAAGTTAAATGCACGACGTTTCAGAAGCAACACAAGCCTCCGTCATCAGGTAGGACAGCCACAGCAAGATGACGGAGGCTTGTGTTGCTTCCGAAACGTCGTGATTTAATTGAGTTATTTTCATTTTTATTTTATTTTATTAATTATTATCACCTACGTGACTTTACCGAAAGAACCAAAGAGTAACTTTGTCTTGTTACTTTCCGCATTTATTTGAGAATAGGCGTATGCAGCGAGACCGCTCCGAGCTTGTCTTACTGTGCTGTGCGTTATTGTATAATAGTTGGTGGATAGTGATGTACATGTCGATCCACTGCTCAATGAGTGCCCTCTCCAACGTCATGCGGGTTGCGGGGATTATTTGACCATACTTCACCACACTGGTCAATGCGGGATGGTGAAGTAAGGGCACATTTACATGGTATAGTACAACAATGGACTCGGTCTTTTTCTCTGCTGACCACAAAGTAATACAGCAGCCTATAATCAACCGACTGTTTTGCGCGTGGTGGTCGCCCATTCACGCTATTTGAAGGCTCAACCTTGCTAAGTTAAGATCTTATCGTCTGTCCAAATGCCACGTTTCAAGATGCTTTACAGGAGCTGGCGAAAATAGAAAACTGTGAATGAAGGTAAATGGGTAGTTGTGGGTAAGTGACAAAGATGAAAGTGCTGCGGTGCTTTTAGAATGGCTGAGAAGACGTTGGTTGTGGACGCGCTTATTTTTTTGGTAGGCAGGCGATAATGGATACGGGTGATGATCAACCGTCATTTCATGTTATACTCATGTCACATGCATTTACTCTTTTGCTCGTTGTCACATGTACTGTGTGTGAAATGTGCCGTTTGCATTGTTAGGTTCGTTGCGAAGCCGTTTGCGATCTACTTGAATATCCAAGCACGCAGGTTCACGACGGCTGTTCCACACGCAGCTTTAGAGAACATTTTCAAGACCGTGACCAAGGTGACTGTGCCTACATTTCTAAAGCAGACGGGAATTATGTGATGGCTCATTTGCATAGCAAATATCCGGCATCATGATGCTACAAGTCCATTGTCATGTTTATCGATAGAATTCGGCTTTATTGTGAACAGGTGCCTTACATGAAGCCAGAACAAATAATGAATGTATAATGTGTACCTACAGTGGACTCTATATATATTCCAGAATAATTGCTGTGCACCAGAAAGTCCCTACAGATTCAAGGCTGATTAGGCAATGTGTAAGCGTTGGGGATAAACATTGATTATGCAGTGTTATATCTGTCAGTTCTATTTTTTCTTGTGAAGCCACATTTGAAAGTGGGTCTATCATTTAAGGCATCAATAGCAATGTATTGCTCAGTGGGTTAAGTGACAGACTTATCGGGAAATGTTTCTTGACCCAGATGTTAGAGTGATCGATTTATAGAAACCCCCCTAACAATGATATGGGGCCATCGTTTATACAATGTTTAGTCACCTGTTGACAAGCAAGATGGTCACTAGAAATCAGTGGGGGTATCTATAAATGAATAGCCTCGTATATTTGCATGGAGAATAGCAAAATGCATGGCCATCTTTTCACGTTCAATTTTCAAACCCACCAAAGCTGAGAGGGAGCCTCTACTTTTGGTGACGTGTATATCTTTTGATAAGCCAAATGAAATCATTTTGTTGGCCTTTGAAGTCGATCATGAAAAAAAGATTTACATAGGGAATTGGCGTCATGTAAATCTCCCTACGCTGTGACCTTGCAGAGGGCATGAACCCACGCTCGTATCAAATGCCACCTTTGTCTTCGTGTTTTTTCTTTGCCAACAGCACCCCGATTCTGCACGTATCAAGGGTTATTCAAAACAGCTTGACCTGGATGTGCGCACTATTCAGCACTGGTTTCGACAGAGACGGAACCAGGAAAAGCCAAGTCTCGTCACAAAATTCAGTGAAAGCTTGTGAGTGGTTGTGATGGCTGAAAAGCCTTCTTCATTATTTCGATGTCAGCATAATTTACCCATTTCAAGAAACAGTTATTGAATTAAAGTTACAGCAAAGATATGCATGGCTGCATTGTGTATTTCTATGATTTTAGAAAATGATTCGTATATGTTCATGTTTTGGTTCTTGTATGGAACTGACAGTACTTCTTAAAATGGCTCTCTTCATGCAGGTGGAGGTTCTGCTTTTACTTTGGAATATTCTGTTTTGGTCTTCAGTACCTTTGGAAGGTAAATGCTTTCATAATAATGATATTCATTTAATGATGTGCATGATTTATACAGCTATACTAGCAAATGAGCAATGCATAAAAAACATGACTCGAACAGCGCTAGATGCAGTGATAGATTGCCTCTTGGTTTAGGCTTGTTTCTTGGCCAAAACATTCTGGCTTCTGTCAATACAAAACAACCTGTTTGACTTGTGCTCTCAAGGGTTGAGCCACCAAAGATCACATCGCAACTGAGGGCATGGAGGAACATTGTCTCCCAACATTTCTCCTAATTCAACCCTGGAGGTGGCTAAATAACGGCAGATAAATTAAGAAGGGATCAACGGAGATTTGGTCAAAATCCAGTGGCACAATGTCTGCAGTGATGTTATGAGCAGTGGATTGGCAGAGACAGCATGAAAAATATTAAGTGTGTTCGATGGCTGTGTCCCAGGTGCACGTGAGATATGTGTGGATTTTTATATGGATGGGTGAGCATGCGTATATTTTGATGTGATTGTATGCTGTATACCCCCTTAAACCCATTTTGTCGTTTTTAGAAAAAATGGCAATTATTTTTTTGTTGACAAAAACTCAAAATAGCTATAGTATATTAAACAGTGAAAACCAGTACAGCAGCATTGTTTTCATGCAGTTGTATATTTATTGTAAGCAGTACACGTTGATATTTCTGTTTTCTCAGACTCCATGGCTGTGGGACACAAAACACTGTTGGTATAACTACCCTTACCAGGTAAATGTCCAGTCGTTTTCCTTGACCTTGGTAGACGTTACTACTTGGAGGAACCTCCTGGTTACACCAGCCCACAGGGGATTTTTGTGTCTGTCCATCTGTCGTGCAGGGAGGGGCTGGGCGGGGAGGGTGGGGAGGGGCTGGGTGGGGCGGGTGAGGCTGGGTGGGGAGGGGAGGGTGGGGAGGGGCTGGGTGGGGAGGGTGGGGAGGGGCTGGGTGAGGAGGTTGGGGAGGGTGGGGCTGGGTGGGGAGGGGCTGGTCACCCCGTGGTGCTCTTATAAAAATCAACGTTTAACCTACTCACGCCGGCTTGTGCCCGCCCTCACAGTCGGCCATATTTGCGGAATACACCACGCCGCCGTTGACCCTGGCCATTGACCGAGCAACCCAACGTTCCTACCAGCTCCCTCCGCAGGAATGTGTTATGGACCCAAGAGGATGACATAACTCTGCGGACTGGAATAAACATTTTACCTCTCCACCAACCGTATTGATCTCTGACCTGAACCTCACTGCAACCTATCTTCCAGGGATAGTAACTTCTCCCAATTCCTCCCCACTTCACCTGCCCGACCCCACTTTTCCAGTTTGTTGATATCTCACTGCACCACATGAGCTTGCTTCTTGATCCTCCCAACAACAAACCAGGATTAGATGAATATTTTGTCTGTCCTACAAAAGTAATTACACTTAAAGTATGGATAACTTCATTCTACTTAACCACTGTATTACGGGCTATTATGCCATTTATCACTGGCCAAGTTGTTTTGTCCATGTTTAAAACTATATTATAGTTTGTTGCCGTCGTGGAATGATTAGCAAACTGAATTTGCTACGCAGAGGTCGCCCGTTCATTCTTTTGGCACCGTTTCAAAAAAAAAACATCTGTTCACTCAGTCCATCCACAGGTCACGTGTGTGTTGGGGTAAATTGTGGTTATCTCCCTTCTCTTCCAAGATGCCTAGTCTAGTGAGGAAGAGTAGGCCAAATACCCTCTCGAGGCTGTCTAGAGCTCCCTCTAGTGGAGGTCCTTTTTCCAATAGTGGCATGAGCAAGAAATGTGCAGGGTTCCTCATGAACATGTTTTGTACAAATATTAAATATTATTTGGGTCTTTCGGTAAAGTCACGTAGATAGGCTCAAAGAAAATAACAAAAAAATTACAAAAAACTACGACGTTTATATGTTTATATGCAATTGTCAAAACACCAAATGGACATCGTAATATACTAGAGAGCAGCAACGAAACAAGAAGGATCGAATATATTACACAATGAAAACGCATGTGTTGTGTTCCCTTGTGTGTGTGTAGCCGCTGACTGCAGGGCTGTTCTGGTACTACATCGTGGAGCTTGCCTTTTACTGGTCACTCATGTTCTCCCAGTTTGTGGACATTAAGAGGAAGGTGAGCCCCATCCTAGTTGTGTGTGGGTCATGGATTTCTGTTAAGAGGGTAATGAGAATGTAAACCAAATTGTCTTGCAGAAAACTATTGATGGAGCAGTGAGTCAGTGGTTAGTACAATGCACTAATAACCCGGCAGCCTGAGTTCGATTCCTGGTCACCCAACAAACATTCACCAACCCACACTGACCAGCATAGTGCTGGACTGTATAGTCAAACAAGCCCGATGATACATCGTTGGAATCCCCCGTAACTTTAAAAAACATTTCACTGACAAGTTATTGTTTCCTCACGTAGATAGGTTCAAAGAAAATAACCAAAAAATTACAAAAAACTACGACGTTTCTATCGCAACACGAGCGTTCGTCATCTTCCTGATGACGACTGCTTGTGTTGCGATTGAACGTCGTAGTTTTTTTTGTTATTTTCTTTGAACCTATCCACGTGACTTTACCGAAAGACCCAAAGAATATGAATTCCTGCAGTCACGAAAGCTTTAAGTGAACACATTTTAAATGTTTAAAATAATGTTGGATTTTAACGTATTTGAAATATATTCAACCAATATATGCCGAAAGACATTTACCGACGTTTCTGCTCAACGGATACCACACCTGGCAACCCATACTGTTTACCCATATTCTTGTACAGGAAATTGCGTTTTCAGTTTCATACGGCGTACAGCCGTTTAAATACGGGCAAAACAGTTTTTGTGTTTCTCCCTTGTGATTGAATTTTGTAGGATGAACGTTGAGATTTATAAGGGCACGGGGTGATCAATTAGATCTGAAATCGGTCTGTAATAAGGGGTTGACAAGTATGGGATACAAAGGGATGAATGACGTGTTCATGTTCCCACACTCAAATGTCTGTCCCTGGCAGGACTTTGTCATCATGCTGGTGCATCACCTGGCCACCGTGTCTCTTGTGTCCTTCTCCTACGTCACCAACATGGTGCGCGTCGGAACCCTCGTCCTGTGTCTGCACGACGCCGCCGACTTCCTTCTCGAGGTGCCCGATAGGGGGCGCCACCTCTTAGCACCGCGACCAATGTTGGACCGCATGCTGACGTCGTCGTCGTTGACGGCGGCGGCCTTGGTTGAAGGAAATGTGTTTGTGTGTGGAATGTTGATCAGGTTTTATAGTTTGTGGATTTTATTGAGCGATTCTCTGTTTAGTCTCGTCCGCTAAAGGAGGGGGAACGTGTGTCCACTCTCATTCATTGTTTGGTGCGAGAGGCACACAATTTCACCCTACCCTAATCAATGTTATCAGGTCAGCCAAACGTTGAACTCAGTAAATCATTACTTTTTTTTTAAACCAATTAATTTTTGGTCTTCATCAGTGAATTGAGGTATCTCATAATTCATCTGCATCTTCATGTAGACGAGTTTATTCAGTCGTAATATTCAGTGATTCTTTGTGGTCTTTGGTGGGTCGTCGGTCGTTGTCAAAGTTGACATGGTGCAGTCAACTAAAATAAAATACACGACTACGTGGACAATATTTGTGTTACTTATTTCATGAGTAAAATTAACCGATGCTGATATGGCCTGGTTGATAATCTGCAATTCACTGGTTGATAATTCAGCAGTATTCATGCAATTTTCTCTGCTAGGTGTTACAAACAGTACTATTCTGAAAAGTTGTGTGCATCTATGGATATGATGCAGTGGCTTTCGTGTGTGCTTCATCATGAAAGACCCCATTACCTAAGTGAAATCACCAGGATAACCAAATGCACAATTGTCCCAAATCATCCTGACCCCAATGTTTGCTTTTTTTCTTCTGCAGACAGCAAAAATGGCCAACTATGCCAAGTTTCAGAAACTCTGTGATACGATGTTTGCACTCTTTGGACTGGTATTCATCAGCACTCGGTTGGTCTTGTACCCTCTCTGGTAAGTAGTAGGTCTGTTGAGTTGCTGTTTCACCATTAGCCCATGAGTATAACGAGCTTGGAAATGACGAAACATTAAATGCCAACTTTGAGAAAAACTCAAAATATTATTCGGTTGTATCCCAGGATGTTCCACACATTTGGAGTTTCTCTAATGAAAACCTAAACACTATTAAATCGTGGTTAGGTGCAACATGACACACGTATACATCATCGTAATGATGGCACTGGTGTTAGTGATGCACTTGCTACAAATTTGTGTGGGAGTCTGGGACATGTTACCTAGTATTTTTTATTAGTTTTGGGTTGTAACTTCCTGGAAAGGCGAGGACACAGCAACAATATTAGAGTACTTCTAAAATGAGTAACAGCATCCAATGAAAAAGGCATTGGGCAACTACAATATGCTTGTTTGCAATCATTTGTGTATATGGTCAGTTATTCCACATTTATGATTGTAGTATGACCATGTCGTCATAGGGACTGACAAATATCATTAACTGAATAAACACGTGCAGTTTTACTTCAGCGACAAGCAATATACTTTACAATTTAAAGCTCTCGTGACTGCAGGGATTCATATCATTGGTTCTTTCGGTAAAGTCACGTAGAAGGGAAATAATAAAATAAAAACAAGAAATTTCTCACGTTTCGATTGCAACACAAGCAATCATCAAACCACAGCAATAATTTTTTTGAAAAAAGTGCTGTGGTTTTCACACCTGATGATTGCTTGTGTTACAATCGAAACGTAGTGAGAATTTTATTGCTTGATTTGTATTATTTCCCTTCTACGTGGCTTTACCGAAAGAACCAAGAATAAGCAATATACTGTTTATATTCATGACTAATATAGAAATCATATCCATCTGTGAAATTTTACATTAACACAACAAACGGCAAATTGTGGAACTTTGTCCATGCTTTTATACCATTTAAACAATGTTACTGGTAATAATCAGGTCCAAGAAAGTTAGTCATAAAACTGTTTCAACAAAGCAGGTGCATAGAAAATTTAGACACCCTCCACTGGAAGTGATTGAATTTTTTTTAAACCCTTGGTCAATTGTTCCCCCCTTCCCCGTCCACCACAGGATCTTGAACAGCACCATGTTTGAAAGCTGGGAGATTGTTGGCCCTTACCCATCGTGGTGGGTGTTCAATCCCCTTCTCCTCTTACTACAAGTGCTCCACGCCGTCTGGTCCTACCTCATCTTCTGCATTGCCTTCAAGGCATTTGCTAAAGGAAAGGTGTGGTAATTGACTATTGTTGATGTCTTTTTCAGTTTAACCAGTCCTCAAAATACTGTGAAGCTTGTCATGTGGAATGGCGAATATTGTACACCTAATTATCGCCTATACTTCTTACATCCGACAGGTTTCCAAAGATGAACGCAGCGACGTCGAGAGCAGTTCTGAAGATGAAATAAGTGAACAGGAAGAGCTGTGCAAGAAAGCGCCTTACAATACAAAAACCACTAATGGACACTTGAAAAATTAAAAGCTATACCATTTGAACAAAACCAGAGAGAAGATGCAACTTCCAGATAACCCCTGCAATATTCTACACTTAAAAATGGTTTAATGTAGTATATATTAATTCGCACTGCACTTCTTTTTAAAGGCTGTTCAGATTGGACATCCAAGTTTGTTTTACCTCGTGCTTTAACTTTTAATTCTCTAGCGTGCTGGCCTTTCTGCTTTACAATAACATTGTGACAACCAAGGTCAAATGTTTTATTTATATTTAGTTGTTTTCATTTTCTGAAGAATTTTACATCTACAAAATGTACATTAAAATTGTGTGGAGAAATGGTGCTTGTATTGGAAGCACATTTTAAAGGTATAATATTGCAGACCTTTAAGTATCAGATGTTGGTCACGAGTGTAAAATATGCCAACTTGGGATATAAATCAACTTTTCATAAAATTTAACCTGCAAAAGATAGCACCTTTTTGCGCGTATAATTTTGTTGACGGCTTGTCTGATATTCTGAACGGCTCCATTATATGTGCACATAACCATTTCAAAATATATTTTAACAGAAATCCTCTTAAATGCAGCACTAATTTCACCCATCCACATGGTAACTATTGTAAAGCCAAGCACTTTCATTTGACACTTAACATCTTGATAATAATGCAGTTGTAGGGAACATTTTTCCCAAATAATGTACAACCATATTTCTATTTACGGGATATAAACTCCATCAGTCGATTATTTTAGTATCAACAGATGTAATAAACATGCATTTGAGTTTAGAATGTAATTGAAAAATGCACTCAAGATAACACCATTTAACATTTTGAAAAGCACAAAGGCAAAAGCAGACTGACGTCATTTGAGACCGTGTATCTTATTCAAGATAAATATTGGTTTATTCAGCCAGGCAGGCTTGAGTGGCAACTACACACCACTTTTGTATGTAAATGTTCAGTCCACCAAAAATGTAGATGTGACCGTGTCAAAATGTAATTGGCATTAAAAACACCATCCTGATAAAGAATGTACTCGGGGAAGCGTCTTCAGGTAACTGGTCCTAACTTAGAAGTGAATAATCACATTAAACTGCAGAAATGCCTGGCTGTGGAAGGTGTGGAATACTTCACGATTTCAGTAGGATGTATTTTGCACTTCCCTAAATTCATTTTAAAGTTGATTCACATTTTTTGTAAAATGTGAATGTGGACAGATGTACAGCTGAACGAGAAGTGAAATGCCTGCGAGATGTACCAATTGCCCATATTTAAGTGGAAGCGATTCAAATTTTGATAAACTGATTCAATGAAGGCCTGTTAAATTGCCACATGCATTTTTTACAAGTGGTAACATTATCCTATAAGCATTGGGATCAAAGGACCAATTTTCAGGAACATTGACTTCCAACAGCTTTGTAACATTTGTTGATCCAAAGAAGTTTTATATGAAAATATTCAGGCCAAAATGAAGATTTAATTGCATGCATCTGCTTTGCCAATTTTAATAGCTACATTTGATTAAAATGGACATGTGGTCAAAATATAGCACTCCAGATTCTCATGGCAAGACCAAAATATGGAAATAAAATTTCAGATTCACTTAGTGACAAATTAGTTTAAATCACTTTTTAAAATGTCACCCATTTATTTCAATACCTGAAACCCATATCGTGAAGCTTAAGTTTTAAAACACAAGGTGGCTCAGGGTTGCGCTTTAGTTCATTACACCTTTTGTAAAACACATTGAAACGGACAATATTAAGGGAAGTCAGAATAGAGTTTGCATTTAGTCAGTAAAATCTTAAGCTCAATTCTGGAATTCCTTTATTCAGATGGGTCAAAAAGGTTGTTAAGGATTCTGTAATGGACATTTGGCCAATACTTTATTAAGCATACACATTTGAGTTATGTCAAGATGTTGGTCAGCAAAAGTGTAATTTTGCTCAATCGTGGACAAGTCAAATTAATCCAAATTGATCATTTAAATTGGTTGAAACATTACAATAATTATCACACGACCACAAAATTGCAGGAACTGATGTCGCTCATAGTGCAAGTGGAAGTTTTACTGCTGGTAAAAAGTTAATGTCACCTAACATGTGAACAAAAAAATCAAAATCTACTCCAGACATAAGAAATAATTTCAAGGACAATGATTGTTTTTTTCATGGCTTTATATGGCCTGAGAAATGCACTGAGTTCTCCTACACGTTGGTTGACAAGTGAAGTTTTGACTTTTTGCGTATTTTACCAATTTGGGAATTCACAAACTAAAGTTCAAATATTAGTTACAAAGGTCTTTATTAAACGTTTTAAAATGGAAAATAAAGCAGCACATTTGTACGTGGATCTTGATCAATGTCCAGAATTTTAATTCGTTGGAAAATGTTTATGGCTACCTCCCATACTACCTTCTTAGAATGTATAGTCATTTTAATACACAAACTGCTGCAATGTGGATGTGTAGGATACATTTAAGCATAGATGATAAAAACTTAATCCCTGTGAATTAAACCATGAAAACAAACTAAACCAGCCAGTAAATGGGATGGTTCCTATAAAGCTGCCACGTGTCCACTTCACTCCAAGTCGGGAAGTTCTGTTGGAAGAAAGAATATTTGTTACATTTTATCCACAAGTAAAAATAAAATAAGAAAATGTAAAACTACTTATGGGAATTCTCAATTTGACATTCTCTGGTCGGACACTGGTGAGATTAGACCATCAGGAAGGCTGTCCTGGTGTAGGCCAATCAGTTTAAAAGGCTGTGCATATATTATCAGAACATTTGTTTGTATGTTTTATCACAAGTTCGTGTGGTGAATGCAGACTTGATTCATTGCAATAGGTATTTATTGGTGTTTGAACATCTGAACACCTATTTTATTGGCAGAAAGGGTAAAACCTATTCTTATTTTTCATAATCCTGGGCAGTACTTACTTTCATCATCACTGTCGGTACCTCCATCCTGGAAAAACAAATGCAAGGGTTTTACTTTTTAAAAACCAACAATGTTCCCTAAAGACTACCAGCGAGTACAAAGTATTCATATAGAGTATTAATATAATTATAACATGAATATCCAGTTCTGTAAAATAAAGTACAAAATAACTTACGTCATCTTCCATACTATCCATGTCAGGCATTTCATCTTCACCTCCCATCTTGTTCATCATCTATAACAGACGAAGACAATACATAAATTAACCGAAGGATAGAAGCCACAAGTGTGCAGTCTCCAATATAAATAACGACATATATTATTTACAAGTCAAATTAATGTTTGTCATAAGCCTGGTTGCAACGATTCTCATTAGCCACATACCAATAGAATTCGAAATGTCCTTTGTGCCTCAGTACGGCACGGAAAATCTTAACATTGCTGTTCTCGCAATAAAATACTTTAGTTACATGTATCTCAATATACCCATGTTCACCTCTTGTCTCACATAGCCTTTATAATGGAGCAATTTGAAATACTGTAGTCACATTCTTAACATGTACATAATGCATTTTAAATAAAAAATCAACATGTTCAAATATTAATCTAGATTTTTTTTCATGAGCACAAGTGGGGTGATTAATTCATACAGTTTACAAAAACAGGGCACCTGCTGAAATTGATAACCGAGTGCAACTGTTAATGTCCATTTGTCATTGTTGTGCCAAGTATGGTTTTGTACACAATTTTATTCCAGGTTTGCTCCAAATATTAATGACCTTTCAAAAAATAGTAGTACAATAATTTAAGTTTAAATACATACATCAGAGAATTGGTCAAAATTTCCCATTTCTTCATCAGACTCATCCTCCCAATCTTTCCAGTTGTCGAAGTCGACAGACAGCCACTTCAGCTGCAATGACAATATAACACAAGTATTAATAACATGCACAAAGAACAGATTACGGCAATATAATCATTAAAGATCCCAAGATCCACCCAAGATCCCAAGGTACTATATTTTACGACAGCAAATAAAAATGTTGTTGCTACAGCAGGTGGGGCTCTTGGTGGCTAGAAAAAGATGCTAAAATCACCCGATATGCACGTATAATTTCATCAGATCTCGAAAACGAAGTTGGGATGGGCCTGGACAGCACGTGAACTGGTGTGGAGAGCTCAGCCGTGGGCAATAGGGTAGTGCAGCAAGATCCATTGTTGTGCTATACTTGTATGCTCCCCCACCATCACCACAGACCCACATACTGACCACCGTAAATTATAGATTCACGAAATTGAACACCCACATGGTTTGGTGGATAGATTTCAGGTTTGTACAGCCGATGCAGCTTGTTGAACACGAGCCATGGCGCTGCGTCCAAAGTACAACAGGAAGTACTACAGGACGTTGATTCAATGCACTTGCCTTATAATAACCAGGCAGAAACTCGACGTATGAAAGCAATAAAGTACAGGGATTCGCAAACAAATGTACCTTGCTCTTTTCTTTGGTGAGCCGAGGCCAAGCCACTCCAGACTTGGATTTCTTCATTAAGCAATGTATTGATCTGTCTGTACGCTTGTGTTTGCAATCCTGGTGTAGCAAAGAAGTAATTCAGTTTCAAATAAACAGTAGCATTATGTTCGTAATTGCCGCAACGGGTAGACATTATTACTAGAGCGCAGAAATGCACTTACTTCTGGAATGATTTGTTCAAAGAGCTCAGCTTCATTGTGGTATTTTTCTTTATCGCTTCCTCCCACGCAGCTGTAGGATGAGTACAAAAAATATTAACATTTCACACACACAAATGCCTCCTTCACGCCGTCGTACATTTATAGACGCAAAATATCCGAGCAAAATGTGTACTGCGCTGTTTCATTGTGACGAGGCGACGCCCACCTGAACAAGAGCTTTCCGCTTTCAAATTTTACGGTCACGTCCTTGCTGTCCTCTATGCAAAAATCCAGGAACACGTACTCCTTCCTGTCGTACCATTTCGCAGAGGCGGCGTGTCTGTGGCAACACAAAAGGGCATACAATCAAACTACTATATATGCGCGCATAGGCCGCAACAGCACAACAACGCATTGCCGTGTATCACGACAAACGCCCGAGTACACAATAGAAAACCAATGCACCGAGCACGTGGGCCAGGGCTCGGTCGCGAGCGAAGAGTCCATTTATCTTGACGTGCGGGCGCGAATATTAAAAAGTCACTTGCGTACAAAAGAACGAAAGGGGGAAAAATGACACAAACTGCGGATTCTTCAGCACAGTATTTGTTCCAGTTACACTCTATTCGAAACCCCTGGAAGGGGCGGCGGCGGCACGCGCGCTCTTCCCGCCCAATCCTCCATAGGGGACGCTGCTGCTCGGCGGCAAAGCCAACGCGGCGGTCGAAGAGGTTTGAATGGAAGTGGGTTGGAAGTCGGCAGGGGGGGGCACGGCGGCAATTCGTACGAACCAGGGCGGTGGAAAACATCTCCCCCAAGCAGAACGCCCCCCTAAACACCGTCGGTTTACAAGAGCAACGGCTGATGTAGCAAACCCGAAAATAACGCGGAAGCAGTCGCCGAGCAGCAATTAGCTGCATTTCTGAGGAACACCAACGTAGAAGCATAACCACAAGCCCCTGGAGCAGCATTAGAAGCAGATGAAACAGCAACGGCATTATTCTAACTAGCCGAAAAAGCAGATGAAGCAACATCATTAAACGTAGTAGCATCACGAGAAGCAAATGAACCGGTATGATTCGCAGTGCCCGAATCAGTAGTTGATACAGCAACAGTACCATGTGAACAAACATTAGAAGCGGTAGTAGCCGCAGCAGTTTCAATTAGAAGCACATGGCGACCGGCGGCCTAGCGCATCTAGTCCCACAGTGACTAAGCCCTCGCCGAAGGCCGCCGATGCGAGCGGCAAAAAAAATAACCACCGCAGCGACGATACGGCGCTGAAACGTAAACATAAGCTGTTCATTTGCAATTAGCAATGTAACTATTATTTTGAAAACGGCTAAAATTAGCAAGAGATCGCCTTACGTCGATCGGTCTCCGGTTCCGTCCATGATGCGCGAGGCGAGGTTTCCAGAACGAGAACCACGTGACCGAGCGCACGACCACGCCCCCTGCACTATGGCCACGCCCCCTGCACTATGGCCACGCCCCCTGCACTGTGACCACGCCCCCTGCACTGTGACCACGCCCCCTGCACTATGGCCACGCCCCCTGCACTATGACCACGCCCCCTGCACTATGGCCACGCCCCCTGCACTATGGCCACGCCCCTCTAGCACATGACCACGCCCCCTCCACCCAATAGCCCCGCCCCCTATACCATACGGCCACACCCCTCTACCCAATAGCCCCGCCCCCTCCACTATGGCCACGCCCCCTCTACCATACTACCACGCCCCCTCCACCCAATAGCCCCGCCCCCCCCACCCGACGACCCTTTCCTCAACGCGCGCAACGAATAAAGGGGGGGGGCGGACTCCCACGCCCAATCGGTGCAGTGACGCCTGATGGTAGCTTTCCATTGGCTGAGCGACTGGTCCGCCCCAGAATGCAGCCAATAGGAAAGCCCCGTGAGTTGGTTGCTTGGACACGAAGGGGCGTGTTGAGGTGACAATGAGACGAGTTCGGGGTGGGTGGGGTTGAGTTTTTGTTTGCTGCCGGGTGGATTGGGTAAGGTGACGTCATAGGTAGGTGGGTGACGTCATACGGCATGTTTGAAATTGAGTGACGTCATCGTGGGCCTTATGCTGACCCCGCCCCTACTGGACATCTGTGAAAAGAGCTTTACAGCTCATCAGATTATCCAGGATAAACACACATTCTGAAAGATTCTGATATTCGGTGATGAATGACTGGGTCGTGATTGCTTATCGTAACATATTAGTGAATATAGCGGCCTGTCGTGGCTGGAAGAGTCATGTGAACCAATTACGAATACGAAAAAAACGTTAATTATTGTATACTGATCGATGCACATGCAGCTGTCACGCGCTTACTTGCTAGCAACAGCAGGGCCAGGTTCAAATGTGATATTGATACAGAACAAAAGGAGCAGGGATCAATGGTCAAGGAGGAAAAGTTAAAACAAGGAAAAATATACAGTTTTGATGAAATTAACAGGACAGTCCAAACAATTGAAGTAAAATAGTGCTAGACAGAGTAATTTGTTAATTTCTGCTCCAAACCACGCCACTGTAACCCTAACAATTCCCCACATTAAATACGCACTACAATGATACTAGTTTAAAGCGACTTGAAGCATGTTTTATTTGGGGGGGGGGGGCAGAACGTTGTGACGTCATATTTGAGGGGGGGGGGATCTGACTTTTGTGACGCCGCGTGACGAAGGGGGGGGGGGTCAAAAATCGTCCAAAATCAAGTTAAGTAAAACAGTTGAAAATACATGACTATGACTAGTTTGTGAAGTCATATTCCATCCTCTGGCACAAGGTGTTGCACCGTTTTCTGAGAGTGCCTAATGGGAATGTATTCTCTTCTGACACGAGGGATTTGGGATCAAAATAATCCATAAGCTCGTAATTGAAATAATTGATTGTGTAGGGGGTAATGGTAACCAACACTAATCCGCGTCCTAGTTTAACACCATCTCTAATATGGAGTAATACCTCGGGCTTACGTGACGATTTGTGTTATGATTGTGCTCAGATTTGCTAATCATAACACAGGTAACTGTATTTTTTTGATCAGTTGAGATGTTTCGGTGGGGGTTATGTGGGGAAAGGTGCGTGACCAGCAATCAAGGCTAGGTGGCGCTACCAAACTTCTTTTTAAGTGGCAAAACACAAGTGCGGTTTTCGGGTTACTATATTCGAGTGAGGGCTGGTCTTCTGGCTATAGCAATGTTTATGGTTCACATGGCCTATATGGTGCATATATGACGATAACTGCAGAATGCAAAAAGCTCCACCTCTCCGTATCCAATGTGAGGTACATGTGCTGAGGGCCAAACATTTTTTTTGGCAGGCCACACACACCTCAGGCACTGCAAGGGGCCATTGTGACGGAGTGCCATAACGTTATAGTATCGCCAGGTCTAAAATATAGGTAAATTATAAGACGAGGATTGTATGTAGCAATTAAGACTACCCATTATCTAAGTAAAATCTAACATATCTGTTGAAAAATATATGTACTGCTTTGCAAGCCTAATTTAAGCATGTTATGTTGCGGAAATAAATGTAAACATTTCCGCAAATTTGTCTTAGCATTGTTGTGTGTGTCAAAGAAAATGTGCTTGGACGTTTTTCATTTTGCTATATTGTGGAGTAAATAATTTAACAAATTGAGCTGAACACACTACGGTGTATGTGGTGCTTTTCGACTCATTTGTTCATGCTGGAATAATATTGTTAAAAAGCCAGTGTCTCTATTGTTAAACAAGCATACGGATGGTGCTCATCACTGTCAGCAGCCCTGAGCCCCAGAGGATACATTTCATATTAAGTTTAATTAACTTTCTGTACATGATGTGAAACTCATCATACAGAAATGTACGTGCAGGCTGGAAATAAACGAGTAATAATACAGTACACACAACATGTTATTTATAGACAGCAAAAAGCACAACAGTGACCATAGGCTCAGTCCTCCCGTCACACCTTGCACAACACATGGTATAATACAAGCCTTGATTTAAACCACCAAAATTATTTTTTATTACGGCCATATTTTTTTAGCGAAGAGCAGGGTAATTAGACAACTGCGCGTCATACTCTTTGGTTCTTTCGGTAAAGTCACGTACGTAGAAAAATAAAATAAAAAAATAATATATCACGACGTTTCGACCGCCTGAGGACGATCGCCTGTGTTACGATCAAAATGTCGTGATATATTATTTTTTATTATATTTGTCTACCTATGTGACTTTACCAAAAGAACCAAAGAGTATGGATTCCTGCAGTCACGAAAGCTTCAAATCAAGATCTGCACATGAATTTTGTCCTTAAGAATTATCAGCAGAAATATTAAAAATTGCAATAGTGGCCTCCAGCCCCAAGCCTCCAGGAACATCTGGGCAGCCCTGCATATGTGGAGAGGGGACTGCTGCTGTGGAGATATGCTGAAAGATGGCTTGAGAGTTTTGTTCAAGAAGATTGGAACCACCTTTATCAACCCTCAGATGGAAATCGTGGCAAGGGCTTTGTATACAATCATACGTTTGCACCTATATTTTCTGTGATGTTAATAGCATATAAGGTTTGTTTTTGTTATTGAATAAATAATTGCTTTGTGGACTTTTCTTAAGATCAGCACACTACACAACCGTAGATCATTGTCAGCTACAATGGACATTTGCTGTGGAAACAAAATTAAGTTAGCAGATGCGAACCTTCAGGCCTAATGAGAACTGACCTATGTAGAAGCAATGCTTCTCAACTTACTCCACAGCTACGTCAAGGCATCAAGTCAAGGCCATTTACACAATTAACTGCAGGAGAGAAGAATTCCCAAATCGCATGTGAACATGGCAGTGTGAGCAAACTGAGTATAAAATGATGATGACAACGGAATGTGAGCATAACGGCATATTATCTTTTTACGCCTTGAATTCTAAGACTCAAATACCGTATCATAAACACAAGAGGTGCATGTTTAAGCCATAAGCGAATATATGTCCCTAACGTCATAATAACACTAGTGTACTTTAATACATTTCATATAACCAGTAGCTATAACATCCGAAGTTGACGTATGATAATTCACCTATGTTGACTCTATATATATGTTTTCGGTTTACGAATTAAGACTATAATAAACTCAATATTCATTGGTAAACTTTGTGAATGTGTCCCACTTTTCCGTATTTGGCGAGTTTTAATTTTATATCGAATGCATGCTGTCCTCCGCTTCCAACAGTTCTTCGACATTTTTCGTTGTGGTGTTGGACTCTGATTTTTCATAAAGAAGAAGTAGGATGTGCCTTGAGACAGCGGAGTGGGATATACGTGGTGCAAGAGGCAAGTTGCCCTACACTTTTTGGACAAAGGTAGGGTTGGAGGAGGGAGGGTGTAGGGGACAAGTCATATGCTGGACTCCACAATTAATAACCTTCATAGACTCCCGAGCCGACTGAACGTTGGCCCTCGTGACTCCTTGCCCCTAACTTCAAAATCGTTCCCACGCGCCTGCCTTGGGATTTGACGTGTGGGGCAGGGGGGTTGAGGAGCGCAAAGATGGGATGTGACCATTGGGGACCCCGTGAGCCTGGCCGTGGTGGGGGTGGTGGGGGGTGGGGCAGATGTGGGCCAGAGAGTGGTTTATTTTGGAGCAAGCCTGGTGTGGAGGAGATGATGAATGAGATCCTTGTGAGCTCTGCCGTGCATGTGAGATGCGGGACAGGGAGGTTGTAGGAACGGTCACGGGTGTGGCGCTGGCGCACGGTGGTAGCGGTAGTGGCAGGGCCCTCGTGAAGACCCCCGCGTCTCGTACGCTCAGTGGGCCCCGTGGTGCCGCGCTACGCACCATGCGTCCCGCAGGGCGCATCCTCCATCTCATCCACCTCCTCCACCTCGTCCTCCTCCTCCACCAAGGACTCCGATCCGCCGACGCTGGCGCGGCCGCCGCCGGGTTGGCCCTGCCGTTCGTCTACGAGTCGAGGGCTCGCTGCGAGCCGCCGTGCCGCAACTATGGACTGTGTGTGCGCAACGACACCTGCTTCTGCCTGCACGGATACCAGGGAGAGCGCTGCCAGCACGGTAGCTTTCCACCACCTGCACGGGGGGCCACGCTTACGCAGGGCGCGCACACACACACACCTGCGGGGGTAACCACACCTGTAGGGGTAGCCACACCTATAGGGGTAGCCACACCTGCAGAGGTAGCGACACCTGTAGGGGTAGCCACACCTGCGGGGGTAGCCACACCTATAGGGGTAGCCACACCTGCAGGGGTAGCGAAACCTGCGGGGGTAGCCACACCTGCAGAGGTAGCGACACCTGTAGGGGTAGCCACACCTGCAGAGGTAGCGACACCTGTAGGGGTAGCCACACCTGCGGGGTAGCCACACCTGTGGGGGTAGCCACACCTGTGGGGGTAGCCACACCTGCGCTGGGAGTAGTCATCAAAGATCGCCTCTGTACCTGTGCGGGAGGTACAACTGCTTCTGGGATGGATGGGGCTCAGGCTCCGAGTAACGAGAGGAGGGGGGTTGGACAGCCCCCCCCCCCCATGTAATTCCTTACACCAGGGTCCATGCCGACCACGATACACCACTGCCGTATACCCTACACAGACCGGGCAAGTCCTGTTAGCGATCACCTGTTCGACCTTGCGCGGCACACGAGCGGGTGGTTTGGCCATCACCACGCTTGGCCGCATGTTTCCCCAGTGCTGATGTTTGTACGCAGCACCAAGTCGTTGTTTAAGGCTAAGTCGGCATGTATGGGATGTCCAGGATTCATCCCGCGGCATATCAACACGCTACTATTGCTCGGCGTTGCCATGTGGGAAAATTGTTTCGCGCAACCGCAACGCAGAACATAGCAGTGAACGAATGGTGGGGATTCCACGTTACTATGGCGGGGGCGAGTCTGAATGTTTCAGGACTACTAATTGATATACCACAACGTGGTATAATAATCATTTTATCGACCACGGAGGAAGGGTTTAGATTCTCCCCGACTGGAATTTTAAAACTTGTTTTCTCTCGCACTTCGCTGCCACCGAGCCGGATGATGCCACCTTTTAGTCTCTATACTAGCACAGGAGAGCAATGTTTTTTGTGTGTACAATAACGTATTTCCGAATTGAAGGAGCTGTTGTTCATTTGTCCCTTCACAGCCACGTGCAACCCGCAGTGCAAGCACGGCGGCGAGTGCCTGAGATCTGCCAAATGCCGCTGCACTCTGGGATTCGAGGGGCGATTCTGCCAAAAAGGTGCTGCTGCTGCTGCTCACTTTTGTTATCCTCGTTTCACGCAGCGCATTCATTCCACGTTATTAATTCTCCGGTCCAAAGTAATGCCGACAGTTGTGAGTGGAGAGGTGCAGCAGTGTCGCAACAATTTCTTCGTGCGCTTTGGAAAGATGTTCCAGGCGTGTCTCGTGCTGATGATGATGGGCTCCGACGCGCGTTTAGCGCACTAATTAGATGATTACATTCTGATGATACGTAATTATAAATTAACATTTCTCCGCGTGGAGGTTCAAGAGCTTCTCAGGATGCTGTAGAAGACGACCATATACACATAATCAGTAGACACGAAATAATAACAACATGAAAACAACAGTTGGCAGATTTTAGAAGCGACGGGACAAGCACAGCAACCCGCCCGCGAACGATGATAATAATAATGCTACATTGTTATGTAAACAAAGTGTTTTTGTGTACAAAGTAAACATTTGAGTACTAGAGACATGTGTGCTTCATTAATTATTACGGGACACGTTTGAAAAGTATATATAATGTACGGTAAAGAGACGGTACACACAGGATTGACAACATATCCTTACCATGTGGAAGTACAGCATTCGTTTTAATAGATACAATGTAGGTGTTTTCGGGATTAAAACAAACTAAAATATCGTCGCGAAAGCCTACGTGTTAAACTGATATTTAATGCTATTTCGCTAATATACCGCTGTTCAATCTCCAACGATAAATATTCAGGCTGCCCTGCCTCTTTGCTGTGAAGGAAACGTAAGCGTTAGCCAACTCAATGTATTTCTCTGTATGAGGAAGTGCAAATGACGACGGTCGTGAGATGTTTCCAAGCCTGTGTACCACCTGTGCACCACCTGTGTACCACCTGTGTACCACCTGTGCACTACCTGTGCACCACCTGTGTACCACCTGTGTACCACCTGTGTACCACCTGTGCACCACCTGTGCACCACCTGTGTACCACCTGTGCACTACCTGTGCACCACCTGTGTACCACCTGTGCACCACCTGTGTACCACCTGTGTACCACCTGTGCACCACCTCTGCACCACCTGTGTACCACCTGTGCACCACCTGTGCACCACCTGTGTACCACCTGTGCACCACCTGTGTACCACCTGTGTACCACCTGTGTACCACCTGTGTACCACCATACTTGGTGTAGAGTTTTTGTTATATAGTACGTAATCTCTTTCTATATATATAGTAACCTTAACGACTGCATCCGCTTTTCCACGCTCACCTTTAATTGGCATGGCCGATTTAGTTCGTTTTAAAAGGTGAAGTCTCTTGACAGGTTATATCGTGTACGAAACGCGTGTCTGTTTGCGGAATGATAAGAAGACTAATGGAGGCATGCCAATATGCAATGCAGCACACACAACCGTGGTATTTTTTTTTATGTCTGCCTTATTTATAACCTTACGAAACAAAACTGAAATTAAAGTGAACTACTATGGGATAATGACTATTCCTCGAGGTGCACATTTCGCGTTCTCGACTTCACATGTTTGCTGTTTACATATTTACCAATGATAAAGGCCCATTCACGGGACACTTAATTTGCATTTTACTTGGTTGAACACAGATGGACTGAAAACATCGGATGGGTGCCATGAGGATGGACGTTGATAGGGCCTGAGAGCTTACTATCGCGTCACATCACAATTCATGCTCAGACTAGAGCCATGCATGCCATTTTGTGCTAAAACATTCCAACTTTAATGTAATGTGCCTCAGTTTTCAATACTTTGCAAAAGGTTACCAATATCAATAGCCAATGCATATATATTTTTTATATACACCTTATAACAAAACTGTTAATTTCAAGTAATTATTAACGTTTTATTAAAATATATAAGACTTTTGCTTAAGAATACAAATTAACAAGACCACTTGTATACATATAGAAATTTATCGGTAGGTAAATCACAATACTGTATTGTCTATTTTTTGGAGAAAAAATAAGGACAAGTTTCATGTACAATATAATCATTTATTATATTATACGTACATCATATCCACTGTTGTGGACTGTTATGATATATATATATGAATGTTAAGACATTCATTGAAAACATGTCAACACATTTCTTCACTCATGAAACTACAATAAACAATACCATTTTTCTTTGCTTCTAATAATCAATAACACTGGTCAAAAAAACCCCCATTTTTTTCTGGCCTGGAATTTTGCAGCTGTTTTAGACTAATTTCAGGGTGCTGATTTCAAATCTGATCTCAGATTTGCTCTATCACATCTCATTTTTATGCTATCGGCATACCCCATTTTCATTTATTTTATCCGAAATTAACTCTGTCACTTATGATTGCAAGTTGTTGCGAGTCAGTGACTGCTTTAGTGTTAAAATATGGTGCTCTATTTTTAGGATAGTGTGTTTATAATATCAATTTATGTAGATATCCACATTTATTTAATATTTTTCTTCTGCAGTTTTTATTGAAAATGCAATATTTGATATCTGAAAAACCTGATGTGATAGACAAAAACTGATGCCATATTTGGAATCGGCACCCCAAAATTACATTAAAACTGTTGGAATACATTATACCAGTGTAATCAGTGTATGAGAGGGTGTTTTTTTTACGATCCCCCCCTCACTGTAAGTTGTGAGCTCATCTCTCGCCAACCTGCGTCTTGCCCTACAGCGAGCTGCAGTGGGGGCTGCATGAATGGCGGTCAGTGCGTGACGGTGCTCGGCGTCTCCAAGTGCTCGTGTCCCTCTGGCTGGGGAGGCGCGCGCTGTCACCAGGGTATACGCCATTCTTCGGATCGCGACAGCCGCTTAACGCCTACTAATGGGTCCTCGGGGCATTGCGTTAATAACCTAAGTGGCCTGGGTGGAGTAGTGAGTGGTAAGAGCAGTGTTTTTCTGGGTAGCCACCCAATGATTACAACTGGGGTTTCAGGTGAAGTGATTTGATGGTCTCAGTCCAGTCACATCAGTGGGGACGGGGATCATACAAAAATCCAACACGTGAAATTTGGAGGTTTCAATGTACTTAATTTGGCAAAATTTAAACTCTGTAAAATATAAAGTCAGCTTGCCATGCGACCTGAATTTCTCTCAAACGGGACATACTTTAAAGTGCAGCTCCTCAAGTGTGGATCACCGGGCAATTGAAGTAGTTCTGGCTGTTCTCTAACATGGGGTGATACACTGCTCTGCAAGCATTCCCATTGGACACTCCGTCTCATAACATGAATTAAAAATCACAAACGGAATAAATGTAGAAAAAGGCAAAAACAATAACGATGTTATGTTAACCATAACTTTCGAATATGTACTGTATTGCTGTTCTACCTTTGGTGTAAAGATATTTATTTGTTAAATGTATCTCGTATGTTCTCTTTCTTGGCTTTGTTTGCAGCTATGTGTCCACAGGGATGCAGAAACGGAGGTGTGTGTGTGGTGCCAGACATCTGTAGTTGCCTTCCAGGCTGGCATGGAGGAGCCTGCCAGATTGGTGAATACTTATTTCTTAATGTGCCAGCTAATACTTGTTATTATGATGGCTATGGGACTGAGATGGTTTCAGAGGTGCACAAAGAGCCTGCACAGGCCATGGGATTGGTTTACAGGGGTGATGCCCTTGCACCCTATGGCATCGTTTTCTCATAACCACCCTTTGTGAACAAAGCCTCGCTATTAGCAATTATAGGTGACTCGTCACAGCATGTCCAATAGCAGTGTAAAGATGCATACATTGATTTATAAAATTGGTTCTGATATTCAAAATTCATGCATCTAATCATGTCTGCAAGAAAAGTCAGTTATTTTCCATCATATTTCTTGAATCTTCTTGATGAAATTATCAGGGTAGTTAACCATTAGTGGCTTAATGTTTAAGAATAGGCTTCACACAAACATGGATAACAAAGTCATTAAAATGGCAATTATCTTTCACTATAACATATTATTTGTTAATCTCTGAAGCTAGCTTATGAACAAATATATAAATATGAAAAAAACTTTTTAAAAAAATATTGGGCAGTAAAGATGCAATAGTCCAGTCCATCTAGAGACCAATCAGTTTCAAACACAATGCATATATTATCAGAGCATGTGTGTTTGCATGTTTACCACAATTACGTGTGATTAATGCAGACATGATTCCTTGCAAAAGGTTTCTATTTGGTGTTTGAACATCTTAACACCTGCTTTATTGCCAGAAAGGTAAAACCTATTCTTATTTTTTCATTATCATGATCTTGTGATGTAATCCACCTAGCGCCTGCACACAGATTTTATCGCACCATCTTCTCGGTGTATGACCATTCGGACACGTTCTGTTACTGGGCTGATGCTCTGTCACTACTCTTGACCATATGCCCATCATTCCTTCTCGGGACGTGTCCAACCCAAGCCCACTGACGTTTCTTTACAGTTTTCATGCCACCTCGAACCATAAGCCACATATAGTTTGCAATGATTAAAGTTTTCAGTTGTTAGGCACATTTTAATGTTATTTTTCATTGAAAAGTTCAGTATATGTGATGCTCAACCATGCTGTTTTGCACACGTCACCAGCCGAGTGCCAGAAGCCATGCCTCAACGGAGGGAAGTGCGTGGCACCCGACGTCTGCCGCTGCCGTCACTCCTACCGAGGTCCCCGCTGTGCGACTCGAGTGATTGCATGATCACGCCACTGCACAGCAACCCGGAGCAGGAACACTAGTGCACAGATGTTGCTGCCTTAATGTCTTCCAATGTCAAAAAAACAGGACACCAGAGAACCATTATCAAACGCCCGAGACTGTGTTTAAAGCCAAGCAATCCAGCCGGGCCCAATATTTGATGACTGTGTACCATGCGCAGGGCTGCCCAGATTTTCCTGGAGGCCCAGGGCAGATTGCCACGTGAATCCTTATTATTCATGAGTCACACAAAAAAAACAGGCCCGTTGTGGAGCCCTCTTTGGTGTGAGGCCCAGGTAAATGACCACTTTTATCCCTCCGACCTGTCGGCGACCCTGTCTACGTGTGTCTCCGTAACGATGTTGTCGGATATCGGAAGCCAAGCAGGTGTGAGCAGTATGTAGTTAGTTGGGTGACCGCCAAGGTTTGCCAATTGTTGTAGGTGTGGAGTTGCCAGGGCTGGCCAAGGGATAATAGAGTCGAGTGTCGATCCTGTCCGTATGTGCAGTGGGGTTTGCTTCGGTTACTCGGATTTCCTCCCGCACGCCAAACACTGCAGTAATTGCGTTGCCCAAACATACCAATGCAGGATTCACTTGAGAAGGTCTTGGGGACTCTTGCGAGGCGTTGCTTAGTAAATTAGTATAGGAATAAAAAACAAAATTCTGAAACAAAGTTCATCATGCACTGCCCATGGAGCTTTACGGGTCATAGCAACAACTGAGGTTTATCTTAATAGTTGTATTCATGCATATGTCTAGTAATTGATAGATGATTAAACTGTACATTGTTCAAGTTTGAATACCGTATGTGCATCATAAGAACAACCTAGAAATTAGAAGAGCATTCTAACGTGTCATGTAATGTGCCTCAGTTTTCAATACCAATATCAATAACCAATGCATTTTTTTGTTTATATAAACCTTAGAACAAAACTGTTAATTTCAAGTGAGTATTAACATTATATTAAAATATGTACAACTTTTTCTTAACAAAAAAAATCAACGTAGAAATGTAGATAGAAAATGACTTTTAATAAAGATTTTCAATGATTTACAGTTTTCCAATGTAAAAATTATTGTAAAACGTGTCGCGTTAACACATAGTATTACATTTGTACCATATACATAGATCTAAAAAACATCTCAAGTGTCTGTAATCTGCACCTACGATTAGCATGGTTGGCTACGTACGGTGTGAAAAAAGTTCAACATACATACTGTACTGTGTAGCCAATTGACGCATATTGTGTTTTTATTGCAAGTGAATATACAGTATATATTTATATACACAATTGATTATATCTCAGGCATTTCAATATCTAACGTACACTATATACCACAGGCCGATAATGAAATATGAGGTTTGGTAATGAGTTTTATGCCATAAATGTTGCGTAGTCCCAAGTGAATATTTGAAAGTAACCAAAACAAAATATCTGAAACAAAACACAGTGTGCTCATAAAGTATCGTTCATTATTATTACAGAATTGTAATTAAACAGCAGTTTGAGCTAAGCCCATGAAAATACGCATTTTCACACTTGGTATTATGACGATTTCATCGGGTCTCATTCTTCTTAGTTTCCACGCGTCTGTCTATGGTGTTGGCGACACGCATGGTATTGAGATTTAAACTAAAACTTTTTATTTGACCAGGTAAGGCCCACTGAACTATATAGCTATTTTTTCGAAGCGACCTGGCCACAAATGATAGCTCAACTTAGTCACGTATCACGTGGAGATGTATAATAGGCAAATATTCTTAAATGCATGTTGATTCTAAATGTGGAGGGAAAACCTGGAGGACTTGCATATAAATCCAAGCGACCACGGGGAGAACACGGAAACTCCAAAAATACAGCAGGCGTCAGGGTCGGGATCGAACCCACGCCCTCCTGCATCCCAGGCGAGGTAGTTAACATCTCGCCGCCATGGTGCCCCATTGTGCCCTGTGGTGGTCGCCAACATCTCGGCTGTGATTGTTCCGAATGTTGCTGTTATGTGCAGTTGCAGATGACTCAAGGCTTTCGGTTATTTGGCATGCACTTTAGCTTAAGTATATAAGAAATATGTTTCCAACATTTCAAGAATGCAGTTAAAACTTCTGTGCAATACTCTTAGTTCTTTCGGTAAAGTCACGTAGGTAAAAAATGAAATTGATAAAAAATTTGGCTGTGACGGTCCCACCTGATGACGGAGACTTGTGTTGCCTCCGAAACGTCGTCATTTTTGTTGTTTTATTTTTATTAATTTCATTTTTTACCTACGTGACTTTACCGAAAGAACTAAGAGTATGAATCCTTGCAGTCACGAAAGCTTCTAATCTAGAATTCTTCTGTGCAATCTTAATTATTTCATAGCGTATAGAGTTAGGGAGACCCTTTATCTTTCATGGTACAGACTATTTTGGCGAAGGTGATAAGTGCACACACATGTTCAGTTATGAAAGCAGGTAATGTGTCGCATTGGGAATTAGTTGTGGGAGAACAAGTGGGACGTACGTGAAAAGCATGGCATGGAGCCAGTCATAATGTTCAGTGCAATAACACTTATATCATTCCGGGAGTTCAACAGCTATAATGAGAAGCAGACTTGAGCAGTGTAACTGGTAAGATCTGTATTCCCAGTATACCACTTAATGTAAAAAGAGGTTATGTATGATGGATGATTGTGATGCATTTGATACCACGCACAGCCAAATTACTGTGAGCTTGTTATGGCAGCTTGCTGCTGGTGCAGTGACAGATTAATTATATTTCATCTGTCAAAAATTTTGACTGACAATTGTGCACACACGTGGCTATGATAAAAATGTATTTAGAAAATAAATCCCAATAACAAAAACAATAACCACAACAAACCAAAGTGATACAAAAACAAAATTTTCTTGAAACAACTTCTAAAATTATTACAAAACCAAATATTTCAAGGAATATCATGATGCCTGTTAATCCTAGCAATGCACTACAATACAGAATAAGTGTTTCTCATCTGAAACGGTCATGTTACAATATTATTAGAAAGGCATTGTTTGCGTGTACTCTTAAATAAATCCTACAAAACTGCAATGCCCCAGAAGTGGCCCAATACTTTTGTGTTGTTTAAAGAAGTGAGCACAGAGGTAGATACGTGACCACAGGTTGTCAGAGTGGAACAGCGAGTGGTTATGTGAACAGTTGCAGAAGTGGCAATTGCATTGTCTACCACTGCTCTATTGTGAAATATAAAATAAATTATACATTTTAGTTTTTTTTTGGCCTGTTTAAAAAAAAATCGCATAATAATTTCTGAGCACAAGGACATGTATACAGTGATGCAGCACCAATCAAACAAGCGCATTCAGGTGGAAGCTCACGTCACAGTGGCGTGACGTGGGCACTGCAACAGCGCAGCACTTCGTTTTGCGAGCAGCATTCGTATATATATGAAGGATTTCCCAGAAATTCTTCTACTTGTCAGCTCACCCCAACGTAATCTGGGTAAAACAACGCAAAAGTTGCAATGCATGCAATTTTTCAGTCTCAAATGCAAGTGGAATGAAAAATCATAATACTTATTAGACACAATGTGCCCGACATATATACTTACAAAACTAAAGTTAACTAATCATTGGGATTTAAAAACAATCACTCTCCAGGTTATGCACATCATAGGCTATGTGTCTGTTTACACATTTCACAAAACGTCACAATACCACTTTTAGTTTGGCTTCGGAACAATAAAGCTGATGGGGAATTACTACAATTATCTAATGCAATTCGGGTTTAATACAGCATCTAAATGCACTCGCATCTCAATACTCCGCGTGGTGGTTCTTAAAGGGGGAATGTACTCACCTTTCTGTGACAAACCAGGCCTGCGAATCCGGGACGGCACGCACACATGTTGGGCTGCACACACTTGCTCCCGAACTGGCACTTGGTGCGGCAAGTGGCTATGAAGAGAACACACACACCCAGGGTCAAATTACAGCGAAATAAAAGCAGACAGCAGCTTTCACTCGTAAAATAGTCAATCGTAATCGGACGTTATTATGTCGTCTAAATGAGACCACATCTAATGACACTCCCTACAGAGAGATACAGATAATTATTCGGTCATGAATGGAAATAGAGGAATAGCGATTGTATCACAGATATTATATTTTTTCGAAAATATAACGGAACAAAGTGGATAGCATGTTATTAAATAAATGATAACAAAAGTTAAAGTCACGAATCTATTTGGTTAAAACATTTTACATTATATTCACAAAATACAGCAACTGTGAATGGCAAGCAATTTATAGAAAAGCCAAGAACAAGAACAATGTACTTCTCCTTCTTGCTTTTTGTTTAATTAAAGCAAAATCTGTAGCGGAGCAAACTTTCACAGAAACATCTGGAAATTGTGTAGCTAAGGTTTAGAAAGGGTCCCAATTAAGCCAAGGCTTTGAGCTGCGACGTACGGTTTTGGCACTGCGCTCCCTCCCAGCCTGGTGGACATAGGCAGGTATTGGGGCGAATACACTCGCCTCCATTCTTGCATTTCTGTAGACACATTGCTGTGGAGGAAAACAAACGAACAACCCAACAACAACAATCCAACAGGCTCTCGTAATTCCAACAGGAACGTGACGCAGAAATGAGCTCCACGCAGCTGCATTCTTCGTGGCGTGAAATGTCGCAAAGTAAATCGTGCAACGTGAGCTGTATTGTTGCTGTAAGCAAATATATTTCCCGCACTGATCCTGACTGAAATAAAAAAAACATAATCTGCAATGGCACATGTCAGATGAATCTCTAAAGCAATACCTTTTGAGGCTAACGCTGATCAAACATGGTACAAATGAAGACTGTCTCAACTGAAAAAATCCAGAGCTGGGCTGTTCCACTCAGTAAAGAAGACTTTGGAAAATTGCCCTTTTCCTGTACTTGCCTGACCTAGAGTCAAACTCAAGATGCTTTGGAAAGGATGCAGGACCATTTACCACTTCCCTGAGGCTTTCCTAGTTCAGCACTCTAATTTTGTTGTCAAGCACAAAATATAAAACGAATGTGCAAAGTGTGTTACAGCATACATGTGTAACATTTCATTAATGACACACTGAAAAAGTAAATCTGGCATATTTCTCGATATACGTAAAAAGTTGATACCTCTGAATGAGAACTCATAAAAAAAAACAAGGTTGAGAGTTACGTTTTTGTTGAGTTTATTTTGTTAATTTGATTATACTGCTATTGCATGTTTCTTAGAGTGCAAGCTAAACATCAACAAGGCGGACCAGTAAGACAAACAAGACATGCTTAGTAATTTAAAATAAGGAGCCCATAACAGATGGTTTTATTATACACATATATAAAGAGTCAACATTCACGAACTTAGATGTTGCCCGACAGGAAACCATACGCACAACCCCCTGGCAAATTTGCCTGCCCTCCCCATGGCCTCCAAAAAACACACTCACACACTTTTCCCACCCACCGATTTATTCTCGTACCCCAACCCAACATTCACTTTGGCTCAAACTCCAACGAGCACATTTCTGCATGTCAAACTCACGTTTGTTACATTTCTTGCCTTTCCAACCGGACGGGCACGAGCAGATGTTGGGCCCCACACATTTCCCTCCGTTGAGACATGTCGGATCACAGACACCTTAACAAGGAAGAGGCACAACAATTGCGGGCGTCATGGCCAAAACTCATCCTAGTTAACTGTTGCACGTATGGCTACATGGAAGGCATGGGTTCAACAGTCCAGCTGATTCTCAACCTCACAAATCGAAGTGTGTGTGTGTGTGTGTAAAAATGAATTGGATTTCAAACAAACTGTTTTCTAAAAGTCACATCAGATGAATTATTACATGTCTGCTATATATTGATTTAACCATTTACAATTTTCGTAATTCATATAAAGCCGCCACAGGGAGAAAACAAGAGACGTATGAAGCGTGTAAGGTTTTCTACATGTACTAACTGCCATATACTAACTGCCAAGTTTTCACAGTGGGGGGGGGGGGGGGGGGGTAATGATTTCCG